ACAAGAGTTTGAATGAAAGAAGTGTACTGACAAAATGCTATTTCCATGTTTGGAAAAAATAGAATATTAAATAAATCGTTTATTATGATAAATGTAAAGAAATGGTTTCCTAAGAACTGCTACACAGACTAGCAGAAGTTAACATCACTGCCCAAGGCAAAGTGAATAACAAACAAATGTAATTATTAAACAATATAATTAAGGTTAAAATTAGTATTTTACTCCATTAGTTTTTTTTTGGAGAAGTAAGTTATGCCATTTTTCTCTGTGAATTATTTTTATCTATTCTTACATGTTTTAAACACAGACTATTATAATCATAGAATGACAGTTTATCATCATCCCTTCTTTTACTCACTATCAAAAACTGGAGTTTTTTAAGCCTCCTCTCTTTTGCCAGCTCCGGTGATGGCTAGTGGCTATTCAGGGCAGTGTGTGGAGGTGGACTCTGAAACGCAGTTTGGGATCATTGAATGAGACCACAGTGCTTCATTTCTGATGTTCGGACATTATTGTTATGCATTGAATTGTGTTGTCCCCCTCCACGCCTCCACCCCCGCCAAAAGATATATTGAAATCTTAAATAGAATTATCCCTGTCCCTCAGAATGTGACTTGATTTGAAAATAGGGTCATTGTGGATGTCATTAGCTAAGATGAGGTCATATTGGAGAAGCGGGGGGCCCTAACCTAATATAACTGTTGTCCTTGTAAGAAGGGGAAATTTGGACACAGACTCAGAGGGAAGATGAGGCAAAAAGAGACACACAGAAAGACAGACACCTGCAGCTGGAGGCAGAGATCAGAGTAATGCTACCATAAGTCAAGGAACGCATGCACAACAAGAAACCAGAAGAGGCAAGGAAGGATCCTCCTGTAGGAGCTGCAGAGGGAGCGTGACCCTGAGGACACTTGGATCAAACTTCCAGCCCCATAACTGGGAGATAATAAATTCCTGTTGCTTTAAGCCACCCAGTCTGTGGTGATTTGTTACTACGGCCCTAGGAAACTAACATAGAGATTACCTTGTCTGACTCTTCATTTTATTTATTTTTTAATGTTTTAAAATATTTTTTAAAAATTTATTTATTTTATCTATTTATGTTTGGCTGCATTGGGTCTTCATTGCTGCGTGCACGCTTTCTCTAGTTGCGGCGAGCAGGGGCTACTCTTCACTGCAGTGCGCGGGCTTCTCATTGCAGTGGCTTCTCTTGTTGCGGAGCATGGGCTCTAGCCATGCAGGCTTCAGTAGTTGTGGCACGTGGGCTCAGTAGTTGTGGCTCGTGGGCTCTAGAGCGAAGGCTCAGTAGTTGTGGTGCACTGGCTTAGTTTTCCCGCAGCATGTGGGATCTTCCTGGCCCAGGACTTGAACCCGTGTCCTCTGCATTGGCAGGCAGATTCTTAACCACTGTGCCACCAAGGAAGTCCCTGACTCTTCATTTTAAACTGTGTTAGAATGTAGGTATCTCACTGGCGGAAGCTGTGTCCCTAGGAAAGTGGCATCAGCCATAAATGCCACAGATGTGCTATCCCTAAGGAAGACATTTAGGCAGATGCTGCATTGCTTGAGAAACCTCATTCCTTTGCTTACTGAAGGCACTGAAGCTGATTCCACCTTTTCTTAGACAGGGAGTAATGGCCCTCCTTTTGTCCTGGAAGCTAAAGGTATATCATTCCTTAGCAGAGAATATCTTGAGCATTAGGAAGAATTTGGCTGTAATCTTGGCCCTAGGAAAACTTGGAAAATAATCAAAAAGTATCTTTAATGACCCTCTGGTCTTCTTGTGCCCACCTTAATGTGTCAGACTTCTCCTTGAATGAGAGTTCCGTAACTCACAGTCCAGAGACAGCTCTTAGAAGCCAACATGAAACCTTGGAGATCTTGAGATTGTTTGCAGTAGTCTGAGGGTATGACCACTTTTCTGGGTAAAGATTCCATAGTTTTGATTAATTCTTAAAGATGTATACTTCCCTACAACCAGAACATCAAGAAAAAAAAACAAAAAAAAACTAAGGGTGCTTGGCATGATGGTCAGGATCCACCTAAGATTTTGTGCCTGGGGAACAAGGCATAGGGATGGAGTGGGATGATGGCTCAGGGTGGAGACAGGATGAAGAATGTGGATTTAGATATGTTGACCTGCAGGGGACAATGGACCATTCACATGGGGCGTTCAGTAGGCATTGGGAGCCACAAAGTTGGCAAGGAAAGGGCACGCAGCATTGGGATTGAGCATCACGGAGGTGGGGACTGAATATTTGAGTGCAGGTCCGCTTTCAGAACTGATCACTGAACCTGGCCTAGCAAGGACCAACACTGAGTCTCGGACAGCATCTACGTTAGGGAGCAAGGGGAGGAAGAGGTGGCGTTAGAGGTAAAATAGGCAGGCAGTTTAGAGTGGTAAAAGAATGAGGAGCATGCCCTGGGGGAAAAGAGCAGGAGAGACTTCAAAGGAGAGGCTGGCCAGGCTTGTAAAATGAAATATTTAAAGAAAATGGTGAACACTCATGCGGAGAAGTTCTGTGTCTGAAGTTCACCAATGATCATCAATAATCCCTTTTGAAAAACTATGGGGATTCTTTCTTCATTTATGCATACTTTGAATGGTTATGATTGCATTTCTGCTATGTGCCAGTTACCACGTTAGGTGCTGGGGCACAAAGATGAATAAGACACAATCCTGCCTTTGGGAAACTTACTTGCTTGTGCAAGGACACATACTTAGAGGAATCAACTGTATATGGAGGTCTGAATAGTGTCAAGGGAGGCCACAAAGGGGAAGCATTGATTTACAAGGGAGAGTAGAAGTCATGATGGGGAAATGGATCTCTTCTGCAGGAAGTATAATTGGTGGGTCCAAGAATTCTTAAAGTGTGAAGCTGTCCTGTACATTATCACATCATAATATCTGAAATCGTGCATTTCAGAATCATGTAGGCACACACACACTCCAACACCTTGAACCAAAACCACTTTTTTAAAAAAAATTATTATTTATTTATTTTTGGCTGTGTTGGTCTTTGTTGCTGCGCGCAGGCTTTCTCTAGTTGTGGTGAGCGGGGGCTACTCTTTGTTGCGGTGCGTGCGCTTCTCACTGCGGCGGCTTCTCTTGTTGCCGAGCTTGGGCTCTAGGCATGCAGGCTTCAGTAGTTGTGGCACGAGGCTTCAGTAATTGTGGCACATGGGCTCAGTAGCTGAGGTTTTTGGGCTCTAGAGCGAAGACTCAGTAGTTGTGGCGCACAGGCTTAGTTGCTCTGAGGCATGTGGGATCTTCCTGGACCCCCAGGGCTCAAACCCATGTCCCCTGCATTGGTAGGCGGATTCTTAACCACTGCACCACCAGGGATGTCCAAGAATTAAAAGCTTTAAGAAACTTGCTAAAATATCAGTTTAATAGTAAATATCTGACCAGAGAAGAGTTGGATTAATAAAATGAAGAGATTGGGGATGACCTGGAAAATGAATTTCTCATCTCTGACCTGATTCCGTATCTTAAAGGTCTTATGTTCTAGTTTTCAACCTACACTGCTTTTTATAGTGAATGCTTCCATTGGTGATAATCATAGAAGCAAATACTTCGTTTACTTTTTTGACTACAAGCAAAATAAATACTAATATAAAAATGTGCATATGCTGTTATAGTTTATATGAATTGTGATTTATCCATCTATTCATTTCTGTGTAGACAAAATGATTTATAATTTTAAAGTCTAATCTAATAAACTTAGACAAAAAAGATAAAAAAGAAAGAAAATGGAGTAGCTGTTGAGGTAAATCACATATTTATAATTTTTCAAATTTTAATCCTTAAAATAATTCTACTGAGCTATAAATGCATTCTTCTGCTTTTAGTATATAGACACAGTTTCCCTTTAATATATGATTTGAAGTCTTGTATTTCAATTTTCACTTAAAAGTCTTTTTACTTTAAGATGAATTTTTTCCAAAAAACATACCCAGTCCCTTCATACTCAAGAAAAGACTAAGGTCACTATTTTGTAAACTCACAGCACTATGATTTCCCAAATCTTTTTTTTTTTAAGCTATATATCTTACCTATATCCATTGATGTTAGAACTGTCCTAGACAGTCAGGGATTGATAGAATCCATAATCTTAGGGCAAAATCAACCTCAAAGCATTATGGGCTAAGGCATCCCCGTTTCCTTCAATTAGATCTTTCATTATAATTCTCCCATTTCTTCAAGCCCAGGCTCCACCAAACTCAGTATACAACTCAGGTGCCACAGCCTCCGAAAACATTTCTTGAAACAATCAGCTGGAAGCCAGCTCTCCCATCTATGGGTCCCCATAGAAGTCTGCCCTCTATCCTTCTCTTAGGGCCCATGTCCCTTTCTGTCTTGCATTGTAGCCATTTGCTGTGTTTTCCCTACCAGACAGTGAGATCACCAAGGATACCATCTTGAATCACATTCATTTCTTCTCTGATGTGCTATGTGTTAACTTACACATAGTAGGTTCTCAAGAAGTACTGCGTGTGTACTTAATAATTTCTGTGGCCATGACAAATTGTCAAAGAGAGTGAAAAACCTATTAAGTAAAGTATTTTAGGAAACCCTTGGTCAAGAAAGAAAGCCACAAGAGTAGAAAATTCTTCAAGAGGTGAATCAGAATAACTGGCACATAAAAGTGACACATTCAATTTCTTTACCTTTGTATAACCTCCAGAAGATCAAACGTTAATAAAATATTTATCCTCAGTTGTCACAAGCCAGACTTTGATTTAAAACTCTTGGGTACATGAATGTCACGCCAGACCAAAAATGCAGCACCATGTATTTTTAATTTAAACATGGATCCGTAAAATCTTTATATATACCTGATATGAAAAAATTTGAGTGCAAATCTCCCAACAGTCACCACAAATAAGAAAACAGGATCTAAAATCGATTGTTAAACGTCTGTAAAAGTACAACGAAAAATATTCCATTTGAAAGTCCAATGTGGCATTGATGTGATACGTAAAATACATTCTCTTACCTTTAGGGAATCAAAGCAGGCGATTACTCTTCCATTTTCGACCTGGCAACTTTTGGGGGGGTGAGCAAATTTGCATTCCTCATCAGAACGGGAGCACGTTCCTCTCTGGAACTGTCTGCAGACTTCCAAGGTCAGCCATTTTGTATCTCTGACCGGGGCAACATTCAAAGCCATGATGAGAAAATAATTTGGATCCTGTTCGTTTCTGTTAAATGATGAAATCAAATCAAGTTCCAATGATTCCAAAACTATTGCTGTGAAAAATCCCACATGTAAGTCTGAAGGTAAGTGACAAATTGCTTAAAGAAGCCCAATCCGGGAAACAGAGTGAGGAGAGAATTTATCGGCAGGCGGTCACTCATCAATCAATATGCCCCACTCGAAGACTGCGGGCCGCAATGAAAGCATGCTCAGTGTCATCTCTGGCTGCAAACGTCCGAGTCGCCTGATTGTTTTGCAGACACAATTGTTTTTAATAAAGTGACTTCAATATCATGGCACTCCTTGGGAGAATATTTAGTTCTGATGCTCGCAGCTATTGACGATGCTGGAAAATAAGCCACTTAGATGTTCAGATCTTAGCAGGATTTCTCTTTCACCTTTTAAAATTCCGAAATCAAGCAATTGGCAAAGCCAGACAACTGAGGTATCTTCATCCACTCATAAGGTCAGGGTAATGTGTATTGGATAGCAAAACACGATAACACAAAAGCTCCCGGGCTGTGGTTTCCAGCAAAAGTGACTTCACACAGGCACTTTTAAATCTTGAACCTGCAAAACACAAATAAAATATCAACTTACACCCAAACTCAATGGAATCAACACTTTAACAAACTATTTGGCTCTTATCTAGAATTTGCGAAAGTGCGGTTTAGAGCTTTGAGCTTTGAATATAGTGAGGAAAGTTATGCATTAAAAAAGAGAGAAAAGAATGGGAAACTGCAACTGTACTGCAGAACTGATCCAGGCAGCAGTCCAAAAGTTAGGAATGACTCAAACAGATGAGTGTGGCAGACACAATAATTAGGCATTCTGAAACAATTCAATCTAATGTGCCTAATCGCCAAAACAGTGTATTAGAACTGTGACTTCCAATTAATTTCACATTTAGGCCATTGATTTTACTGTTGGAAATGCTGTAACCAATCATTTGGGATGTGACTCTCCTAAATAATAAGGATATTGTCATTCTGGATGAAGTGTGGGCTCCTTACCCTTTCCATCCTTTTCTAGTTTACAGAGATTTGAACTTAGAGAGGGAAAGGTAGATCTGATATTTACTCTCAGATCTCTTATACTTGCTCTCTACATTTTTTTTTTTTTTTTTTTTTGTGGTACGCGGGCCTCTCACTGTTGTGGCCTCTCCCGTTGTGGAGCACAGGCTCCGGACGCGCAGGCTCAGCGGCCATGGCTCACGGGCCCAGCCGCTCCGCGGCACGTGGGATCTTCCCAGACCGGGGCACGAACCCGTGTCCCTTGCATCGGCAGGCGGACTCCCAACCACTGCGCCACCACGGAAGCCCCTCTCTACCTTTAATACTTGCGTGACGTTAGTGTTCCTTTCTAGGCTGTAAGCACTCAGAGGGTAAGGGCAGTTTGCATATTCCATTTCTGTTTCCCTAGGGCCTTAGTTCATGGCTATTTGGTCCTCAAAAAATATTTCTTGACTGATTTAACTGATGACTGACTCACTGACTAAGTGAATGAATGCAAGTTCATTTTAGCTGAGTCCGGTTTAGATTTTAACGGAGTCACAATCTGAGAATGTTCTGTTCTGTGGAATGCTGGAGCTGAATCACATATCTAACACAACAAAAATATAACAAGTCAATTCAGATTTCTAAGATCAGCACGATTAGTTTCTTTTAATATCTCCAAGGATTATGAAATTATTAAAACGTTAAAAATTTAACATTACTGAGTCAAGCATGAATGGAGGACTAAATATCAGAAGTTGGTCATTTTTATATATTGGATATGCCATGGGCTACCTTAGATACTTGCTTAGCCTTGACGGCCTTCTAAAATATTTATAACTAAAACCTTAATGGAGGCTGGAAGTAGGGTATTTAAAATCGTCATGTACCATAGAAGTTCAGAGAGCAATAATTCTTGAGCGATTCACAAGTGTTCCCTGAAAAAGTGAGTCTCACAATCAATTAAGTTTAGTTAACCCCAGGCAAACCAAGCTGAACAGGCTTCCTTGCAAGAGGGCTTTTTCCGGCCTTGGATGAGTCTCTGATAGGGGAAGAGAAGCAGTGGCGTCTCTCAAGCTTATCTGATTGTGGATCATTTATTTAGCGGGACATCTCCCGGGACTAGTGGGAAATGCTTCTTCATCCCAATACTTCTCTGACTTGTTAGTAGAAGTGTTTGAATGAGTTATCATTGTATGTGCATTTAAGGAAGTTGGCAACCTGGAAAGCTATGACACATTCCTAGCTTCCCATTTTGAAATATTTGAGGGGCCAGACAGGCTCCTGCTTGTCTTTTTGGCAGGATTGCATTCCCAGCAGCTAACATCAACTATCTTAACTTCAAGAGTTTAAGAAGATGACTTTAATAACCAAATTGCCTCTGGGTCAGCTTTCACCGACCAGCCTGGACCTGCACCCTCATTACCTCAACCCTTACCTCTAAACCCCGTGAGAACAAAGCAAGGGAAGCAAGGGACAAGGAAACATTTCTGCTTGTGTGTTCAGTGGAGCTGAGGCGCCAATAATGTGGAGACAAAATGAGGGGCTGGACACACGTAGTTCATATTTGCCAAATATTTTGCAGCGTCCCCGAGTCCCAAGGACCTGGGTCCAATGGGGTCACAGAACAGCAAAGATGCAGGAGATGCTCTTCCTCAAAGCAGCACAGTCTTGGCCGATGCGTCACGTGTAGGAAAAGAAAGAGGCAAACACAGATTCATGCACAGATGGCAAATGAATCATTACTCAAGTCTTCCTAAAAACCACACAGGAACAATGCTCTTAACTCAATCCAGTGAATGGGGTACACTTTTGCTTATACTTTTAGATAAGGAGACATTTCCTGCCCCCCCTGGGAGAAACGGAGTGCCATTTCTACTCCTATGAAAATCCAACCAGAATTTAGATGGTCACACTCTATCAAGATGGACTTGCTTTTGGAAACAGAAGAACCAAGTTTCTGATGGCCAGAGTCCTGTGTAAGTCAAAGATGTTCCACAAGGCTCGTCAGGTTGCACCTAGATATATCGCTGTCCTAACCGTTCATGAATCCAGTCTTTCTCCCAGCTTCTTCTCTGTTTCTATCCTAAAAGTTACCGAGCTACTGTTACAAAGATATCACCTCTCTTGGGCCATGACAACCTCCATCTTCCGGAGTGGGCACAGCAAGCAGCTGTGGGAATGAGGAAGTGAGAATAGATTTAATTGAGGTCATGGGAGGCCACCGAAGGAGATGGGCAATGATGGGCAAGGATGGAGAAGACCAACCTTTAACATGGTTATCAAGGGACAAGACTAAATTAACCAACACATAGAGCAAATTACATATCGGGTCTCCCAGACTGGAGGCTCCTGGGAGGCCCACTAGCCACCCGTGGTTATTGAGCACTTGAAATATGGCTAGCGTCACTGAGGGACTAAATTTAAATTTTTATTTACTCTTAATTAACGTAAATTTAACTTAAAAACGGATCCTCAGTTTACTTACCGGAAAACTTTTAAGTATGCTTGGGCCAACTTGACTATATGAATCTACTTTTCAGTTGTAAATTTTATGAAATCTAAATACAGATCAAGTATTTCTAATAAAAATCCAGCATCCTAATTGAGATGTGTTCTAAGTATAAAATACACACTGATTTCAAAGACTTAGTATGAAAAAAAAAACCATGAAAACACCTCATTAATATTGCTTCATATTTACTACATGGTGAATTGATAATATTTTTAACAAACTGGATTAAATATTATTATTTAAATTAAACTCACTTGCTTCTTTTTAGCTCCCCTCCAAAAAATTCAGAATTATATATGTAGCTTACATTGTATTTCTGCTGATGGCGCTGTTGTAGGGGCTTTTGCATTTCTTCTATTAGCCACAGCACTTTCTGGAATGGTGGAAAGTACCCTGTCCTAAGAGCCAGGTTCCAGCCCTTGTTTTGCCAAGCCTCCTTCACATGACCTTAATAAGTCAATTTCTCTGAGATCCAGTTTCTTCATCTGTAAAATGTTAATGATAGTTCCTACCTACTTTACATGGTTACTGCCACGAAGGACTGATTACAGAAGAAACATAAAAACACTCTGTGAACAGTCAAGAGCTGTCCCAAAGCAAGGTGATGAAAGGATGAGCCGCTCTATAAATATTTATTGAATAAATCCACTTCCAGGCTTCCTCTCTGCAGTCGTTCCCTATCAATGACTGGGGTCATGCCTGGGGTGGATCTGCTCCAGCCACAGATTCTGAGAGCAGGACGGTACCTTGCAGATCAAAGAGCTGACTGCACGGGGCGCTCGCTCGGGGCCTCTTATCCGGAGCGCCCCTCATTTCTCAGACCATCTTATTCTGCAGCCGAAGGGAACCCACAGAGAAGTTTCCCCAAGTACACATCCCACGGTGTCACTACAAAGGCCTGAGCCTGCTGTCTTCCTCCAGCTGCTACCAACCCAGAAGGAGATGAAACACTTTTAGGGCCCAGTGGTCACCCTGGGTGTGATGCCGAGTCCCAGTATGCTGGTCGCAGTGGTGGGGAGCCCATCTGGCTCGAGGCCTTGGTGGGAGCACAGCTGCTGAGTGAGCTCCCAGCGTCCTGGGCGAGGGGGGAGCAGGGGGCGGCACTTTCTAGTTCACCTGCCCAGAGGGCTCCCCGTTAAAATGTGTCTGTGTGGAGAGGGCACGTCTTTCTATTCTCAAAAAGCTGCCACGGGTGTCAGCTTTGGACCCATTCGATGCCGGGCACCCTTTGCCTTTCCTGGAAGTTTCTGCGCTGCTCTGGGAAGCCAGGTCTCTTGCTCCCATTACTTTCCAGTGTTTTCTGTTTAAGTTTCTCCCAGTGCTTTGCTTTGGCTTCTGTTTTCTTCGCTGCTTTTCAAGTGTGCTGCAGCTTTATTTCCAGCTTCACATCAATCCCCTCCCATTAGCTCCTTCCCAGGCAGAACCTGGGCCGAATTCTGAAGCACTTGTTCCCAGTTATTTCTCTGGCCGTTGTAGGTATTCCCTTCCCCTGTCCTCTCCAGGCATTCAGGCACCCCACGTTCTCTCCCCCTCCTGCCTTTCTAAGCCCCTCACAGAGGAGGGTATGATCTTGCCCTGGAGGCTCTGCTGAGTCACAGGCTGGTAGCCCTCACCGGCCCAGCCCCCTGAAGCGGGGCTCCAGCCTGACCTCCTTCATTCCGCTTTTTAAAATTAATTTTATTTATTTATTTTTTAAATTTTTTGGCCACACCACGCGGCATGTGGGATCCTACTTCCCCCGACCAAGGATGGAACCCGTGCCCCCTGCATTGGAAGCGCAGAGTCTTAACCACTGGGCCGCCAGGGAAGTCCCCTTCATTCCCCTTTTGATGGCCTCTCTGTAGTCCGTCTTTTAACACTGCCTGGTAATTATTTTTAAGTAGACATCATTATTCCTTAATTCATGAGAACTGTGAATACTGATTTATCCAACTGTCTCCCCCCAGTATAAGCTCCTGTGTATCTAATAGACTGTTATTATTTTCAAATCCTCAGGGTTCAGTTCAGTGCTTGGTATCTAGAATATGCTCAACGAATATTTGTCCAATAAACTCCTGATC